CATGTGGACGTGCATTGTCGTGGAGAAGAAGAACACCTTTCCGGTTGAATAGTGAAGGGCGTTTTTGATGAAGGCTTGATTTAAACGTTCCAGTTGCTGACTATAGATCTCTGTATTGACAGTTCGCTGTGGATTGAGGAGTTCAAAATGAATTACTCCTTTGATGTCCCACCAAATGCAAAGCATAACTTTCTGCGAATGGAGTCCAGGTTTTGGGGTCGGAAGTGATTTTTGTTTAGGACTGAGCCATTGTTTTTGGCGTTTAATATTCGTATAGAAAATCCATTTTTCATCACCGTTGACAATTCTGTCCAAATATGGTTCATGCGCATTACGTTCCAGAAGAGATGAAGCAACGTTCACCTGTTCGCAACGATGATCATCGGAGAGTTTGAAAGGCACCCAAACACCTTCTTTATGGAGTTTTCCCATATTCCTTAGATGTTTACGTATTGTTTCATGAGAGACGTGCAATTTCAGGGCCATTTCACGAATGTATTGCCTTGGGTTAGATTTGACAAGCATCTTCAGAACATCAATATCAATTTCAACATGCCGACCCCTGCCATCACAGTTTTTAAGACTAAAGTCACCTGAACGAAATTTGCTGAACCATCGTTGACACTTACGAATGTTCAAGACATTTCCATAAACTTCTTTGATATTCTTTGTGGCTACAAAGGCATTATTTCCCTTCTTGTATTCAAACATCATTACATGTCGAATGTGTGTCTCGTCGTGTGCCATCACAATAAGAGATCAGAGCATACAAAACCTTATACATTATATTGGATACGCTAACGTGACGTTTAGGGAGTTCATTTAGCTATTATACGTGATGTACGTTCTTTGGGGGGGGGGGGGTTATGAAACTGTTCCCAAACGCGACATTAATTTCTTGACGGCCTAATACAGACATGTAAACTCTTTAATACAAATTAGAATACCAGTGAACAAAGAAAATTATATGAAATATCCTTTACTACAGAAGTACAACATAATGATAACCTTCAAAAAATACAAAATAAATGAAATGATGCAATGTGTAAAACATTTGACTAGTAAACTGTACAGAGGTATCATAAGATAAAGTTACAGTAGTACTACCTCGAAGTGAAGAATTAACAACTATGATATATCACCTTGAAGTTAAAAGGGGACTCTGCATTATGCACTTTATTTGATAATTTTTGATAAAGTTATCTCTTGGGTAAACATCAGAACGGAAACAAGTGATCAAAGAAAGAGGCATTCTTCAGGAATGCCTCTTTCATTACAAAATACCAGATGCACAAAAGTTTAGGTTCTTCTCTATGCAGAATGGTCAAAGAAGAAATTACAGAGAAATATGAAAGAAAGAGTGAACTGTAAATCTTTTGTGGTTTATTTTTATCATTAGTGACACAACCATCAGTAAGTATGGAAACAAAACAGATTAGAAAATTTTGTGGCCACAGAAAAGGTTTATATATATATACACACAAACACACAGTATTATAGCTACAAAAACAAGTAATGAGGAAATAAAAAGTCAAATTAAGTATTCTAAAAACATAAAGATTGGGGTTATTTTGTGAAAATGTAACAAACTGGTGGAAAACCATAAAGTTATTTTGCATGAAGTTTAATAGTTTAGCAATTTGTGATCTGCCTGAATGTAATATAAATGCACATATAAAACTGAAATTTCCTAGAATATATACTGTTACGTCTCTGTTACGTTAGTTAATTTTCCGTAAAAATTCTTTACGAATAAACTTTAGCGATATAAGTCCTTTCTTAAATAAAACTGGTTTATTCTTTCTGAATACAACTTTGCATACACTTAATTTACCTACAGTCACGCTATAAC